AAAAGGACAGAGGTTTTGATGAAACAACGGAGGGCCGCCATTTCTCAACTCAATCAAATAAAAAAGAAAAGAAAAGAAGTTGAAGTGATCCAGCAGTCCCTGATGTCCATTGGGCAGGGAGTGGACAACTTACATAGTGAGTTTGAATCTTTTCTGTCAGACTGTTGGCCAACCTATTATTGAATACTTTAAAAGAGAAGCTTCTCTCACCAGAGACGATCCGCTCCTCATTCAAGCAGTGGCACTAATATGCTGTTATTGTTGCCATTATTTAGATTTTTTGTGTGTATGTCTACCTGGCATAAAAGCTCATTCTCTTTATTACCATTACTGTCAGCTTACAAGCTCAGTGTAAGCTTGTCCGTACTGACTGAGCAACAGGGTTCCAGCTTTGTAAGGGTAATGTCTCAGTAGCCATCCGGATCTGTGTCCTTGTGCACTGTGGTGAAAAGATACATATGTGTATACACATTTTCCAGGTTTTTCTGTGTCTTTCAGAAGCTGGGAAGAAAATAGGCTTCCATCGAAAAGGCCTGGCAACCGATGGTCTGGAGAAAGAGGAGGCAGGTCCTCCTCTGTGTGGTGAAGCTGCCTCAACAGCAGGTGGATCCTCACCACCACCGCCTCCACCACAGCCTCGTGTTCCCGGGTCACCACCGTCTGTTGGCTGTCCCTCACAGGACAGCGGCAGCTCAGTGGAGGCAGCAGAGCCTGGGACGTCTCCACTGGCACCAAACCTGAGTGAGGCCTGCAGCAGCTGGTTAGCTGAGGATTCATCTCAGGATGCCCTGGAAGTGGTGAGCACAGGTGCACAGCAGAATTCTAGCATCTCACAGTATGGGGGTCAACTTCTCTAAACCTCTCTTTCTTCCTTGCAGCTGTTCACCACTAACCTTGAGTGGGAGGTCGACAGCCTACCAGATTTCTCCTGGCTAGTGTAAGATTGTGTCCTCCTTGTATATATGTATATATTTGTTTATAATGTTTTACATTTTATTTGTATCTTTGTATATATATTTAATAAATGGTTTGTTTGTATAAAATGTATTGCTTCCTTTTTTCGTGTTCTTTATGACACCAGCATTTCCAAGGAGCTTTCATGGGTTGGTTTCCTGATTTGGCTAAATTTCGCTCACTTTATTCCATCAGTGTCCTTAACATGACACTGTGTCAAGGGGCTTTAAAGGGCTGCAGAAGCCTGATGAATAAGAGCAGTGCTAAGTACATTTACTCAAGTACTGTACCTGGGTACACATTTGAAGCGCCTGTAATTTTCATGCCTATTTCTGCTTCACTACATGTTACAGAAGAAATTTGTACTGTTTACTCCACTACATTAATGTGGCAGCTTTAATGACCGAGCCCTTTACACATTAAGATTTTTTTAGGCACATGAAGGGTGTGTAAAACAAATTCCCAGGAAAGGTTAAAGCCAGTAGTAAAACACAGTTTTTTAAACATGTCTCAACATTTAAAATGACAAGATGTGCTGTGTACTCTTTATAAGGTTGGGACTGTTTGCAGGATGGGCGTTGGGTCGTTGTAGGCATTTCTCGCGATTTTCAGTTTCTCCAAACCAAATAGTTGAAATAAACCAAAGAGGACATTTGCAATACCACAAAATCAGTTGAACATCTCAAAATCTGTGAAAGTGTTCATAAGTAGCGCGTAAGTTCATAAAATAAGTGTTTTCAAGATAATATTAATGTGACCTTTGCTAAACATAATGAAATGTTTCCATGCTTTACAACATTCTTGTCAAAAGTATTCATAACATATAACAAGGCTTTACATCCTTTTCAAACCGTCTTCCTAATATGTGGCTTTGCTTAACATCCTTGCCAGAACGTCTTCACAACATGTGGGCAGGCTTTCTGAATTGGGAAGTGCCCCCAATTTTGATAGGCAGCTTGTGTCCCCAAATTAATGTCCCAGTAATTTAACAGTGTCAGTCTTGGAGGAGTCTTGATGCTGAGGAGACAAGGAGACGCAACACAGTAACTCCTTTTTTCTATATTCAAGAAAGCTTTTCTGGTGCTGATACAGAGACCTTCAGTACAGATTCCTTTAGCTGTACTATCTACAGCAGAAGGCGGCCTAGCAGACGGACCAGAATCTCTCGGAAGCTGCTGCTGTAGACTGAGGACCGTGAAAAAAAGTCCTCCACGGGCAGATTTTTGGCAAGGAACAGTCAAAAAATGTAAGTTCTCACATGCTGCTTTTAGAACAGACTGGCTGAACATCTCCATTTATGCAAAGAGACAACAATGCAATTTCCGCTCTGTTCTGACCTGTGTATTCTTGTTTCTCCTCAAGGGAATCTGCCACAGTGCAGAGGAACCCAGTCTGCTGCCTGATCTGCAAGACTCCCCAGGACCAGCTCCGGACCCACCTGGCCCGGGTCTGCATGAAGGACTGTACCCCAGAGGAGCGCATTGCCGAGCTACAGCGAGCCAAGGAGTCCCAGCTGCAGTGGGCAAGGAAAGGACGCATTTGGGATTACGCTGATTTATGTGACATAGTGCAGGACGATGCAACCCGCAGGACTCTGACAAAGACGTTCCTGCAACGCGGGTTTCTGGTCACCAACATGCCTCTGGCTGCTGCAATGGTGACCAGTGGCTCGGCTGAGGAACCGGACACCAGTTCTACAAGGCAGTCCCTCTCTTCTACGGGAATGTGCAGCCTGCTCAATAGTTTCAAGGTCACTGCTGACAACACCTGTTCCAGGCTCCAGCGGGGTGAGACTTTGGATGAGGGTAGGATGGCAGACCTGAGGAACTTCTGTATTACAGTCTTGGTGCTGGGGCTTCAGAAGACAACCCGGCAGGTTAGGGAGCTGACGGTGCAGGAGTGGTTTGGGCGAGCAAGGGTCAACCAGGGTGTTGTTGTGAAAATGACTGCCCGTGGAGCAGAGGACAGCTTCACCCTGACACTCCAACAAGAAGCCTGGTTCAGCTGTTACATGGCCAGCATCCGGTCAGTCTACCTGAAGAGCCAAGTAGCCGCAGGATCTGACCAGGACAGGTTTTTCTTGGGAAAGAACGGCACGCCCCTGACCCATGTCACCAAAGTGGTCGATCGTTTCTGCAAAAGGCACAGACCACTGGAGGGGAGCACCTCCACCATCGTGTCTGCAAAGCGCAAGGCCAGCATGACATGGGACAATTTTCTGGATGAGTTCCCTGTGACTTTGCATGGTGTTCCTCCCACTCAGGAGGAGTCAAAAATGAAGGGATATGAGGAGGGGCGCATCTTCTACCACAAGTGGAGGGACATGCAGAGGAAACTCAGGATCGATTACATCCTTATGGACTACCCACATCGAAAGCCTTCAGAAGCAAGGGTGAGGTACAAGATGCAAAGGGAAGGATGGACTTGCAATGCCCCCAAGGTGGAGGAAATTTTGGCAGTCTGGAAAAGTAAGGGGGGGTCTGTCCTCGCGGACCCAAACATCATGCAGGCAGTCCTGGACCAGAAGTGGAAGGGCCTGGCCATTACAGACCTGGGACCACCAAAGGGAAAAGGCGTGGTGGCAACGATGCCGTTCCAGGTTGGAGATGTAGTATGCGACTACCACGGGGAGCTGGTCACAGAGGCAGAGGGAAGGCAGAGGCAAAGTCAGGTACCAGATGGCACTGACATGTACTTCTTCTATTTTAAAAGCCACAATGGCACAAAGATGTGCCTGGACGCGCAGAAATTCCCCTGCTTCTGTCACCCCGACATTGACACTTTTGGCAGGAGGATAAACCACTCGGGCAAGAACTTTAATGTCAAGCCAGTTCGCTTTGCGTTGCCTTTTTCTGGAGGACTCAGGGATATCATGATCTTTGTTGCCACTAGAAACGTGACAGTAAAAGAGGAGCTCACGTGGGACTATGGTGTCAGACAGTCATCCTTTGGAGGAGAGGGCCGAAATCTGGAATGGCTGAACGAGTAGTAGATAGATCAGAAGCTTGTAAATTTATTTGGGTTAAAGAGTTCATGCTGTATCATAGTTTGACAAAATAAAAACTAAAATGTTTATATCTGAAGACAAAAACATGTAAAAGAAAAAATAAAACTTTAAGTGAATGTTGGAAATTGGTCTTTTTGGAATGTTTGTTTTTGTTCACTGAATTTGTCCATCCAGAGCCCCCTGGATAAAACTGTTTCTAATAAAAAACTAAAATGTTTATATCTGAAGACAAAAACATGTAAAAGAAAAATAAAACTTTAAGTGAATGTTGGAAGTTGGTCTTTTTGATTTAAAAAATAAGAATGTTTGTTTTTGTTCACTGTATTTGTCCATCCAGAGCCCCCTGGATAAAATTGTTTCTTTTTCAAACTACGCATGTATTCTGTGTGGGCTATTACAGGGGGATATTTTGTAAATGTATTCGGGCACCCTAGTAATAAGAGGACAAGGGATTCCGACCCACTCACAGATTATTAACAATGAGCTAGAGTTAAAGTAAAATTCAAGTGGACGTGATGCTACAAGATTATTCAGCACAGCACAATTTTACTTGCATCAACTGACAACAACTGTAAGATTTACATTTTCTTACTGCTCTCCCTGCATAAATGTAGTCAGATTTTTAGAAGAAAAAAAAATCTGTCTCAGAAGTGATGTGAAACTAATAAAGACAGACGCTAAAGCTCACTAATCACAGAGTCAAAGAGAAACACAACAACCATTGAGACAGGATACAAAGGATTAACACTGTTCCTATAAAGCAGGGTAATAGTTAATGGTCAATGTTACAATCATTAAAAAGCACAAAGCCTCAAAGTAGTATTACACATGTATCAGTAGGGCAGACCAAATATGTGCATCACATACGGCATACATTCTTTTTTTAATGGTTATAAATCCCGTGTTGTAAATTGTTAATTGCTCAGGGTTAATTTTTCATAAAAAAAAAAACTACAAAGAGATCCACATGGACTGCGTTGACGCAGCACGGGGGCTTACAACACATTTCCATCTCAGGGTGTCAAAAACCTGATAAAGCGTCTATACTTGATGCATAAAGTACCCTTATGCTTATGTATCAAAACACACTGTATCAAGGTTTAACACAACAAAAAACTAAAATGTTTATATCTGAAGACAACAACCTGTAAAAGAAAGAATAAAACCTTAAGTGAATGTCTTTCTGAAGGTTTATTGTACTACAAGCACCCTGATGGGTTTTCCCTTTTAGCCTTAAGAATAAAAAAGAAGAGTGTATATATATCTGTACATTCTTCTTTTTCCTTCATATATCCCATATATATATATATATATATATATATATATATATATAAAACCCTCCCCTGTTCTAGCACAGTGTTACCTAAACCCAGCTCTCATTATTTTTGAGCACTAATCCTCAAAAGCTAATGTTCTTTAGTTTGTGGGGTTGGCGCCCCCTGCACCCGCCACCCCTCGCTCGATCGTCACTGACTCGAAATCCCTTAATCTACGGAGCCTGTTTAATATCTCAAGTCTTTCTCGATCCTCACACACTTTATCCAAACATTTTTGGTCCTGCATCTGTGGTTATATATTCTGACCTTCCTGTAAAACCACTTGACTTTCAGTGCTTGAACTGTCCTGTCCTAAACACTGATGCAAAAGTCCTTCCAAAGCCGGCTTCTCAAGATGGCCCACCACGGCCCTGTCCTGTCTTTGGTTACCTGTCTGTGGTTACCTGTTTGCACTTACCTATCTGTGGTTACCAGTCTGTGGTTACCGTCTGTCTGTGGCTACCAGTCTGTGGTTACCTGTCTGCACTTACCTATCTGTGGTTACCAGTCTGTGGCTACCAGTCTGTGGTTACCAGTCTGTGGTTACCGGTCTGTCTGTGGCTACCAGTCTGTGGTTACCAGTCTGTCTGTGGGTACCAGTCTGTGGTTACCAGTCTGTCTGTGGCTACCAGTCTGTGGTTACCAGTCTGTGGTTACCAGTCTGTCTGTGGTTACCAGTCTGTCTGTGGTTACCAGTCTGTGGTTACCTGTCTGTCTGTGGTTACCAGTCTGTGGTTACCAGTCTTTCTGTGGTTACCAGTCTGTGGTTACCAGTCTGTGGTTACCGGTCTGTCTGTGGTTACCAGTCTGTGGTTACCAGTCTGTGGTTACCGGTCTGTCTGTGGCTACCAGTCTGTGGTTACCTGTCTGCACTTACCTGTCTGTGGTTACCAGTCTGTGGTTACCAGTCTGTGGTTACCAGTCTGTGGTTACCGGTCTGTCTGTGGCTACCAGTCTGTGGTTACCAGTCTGTCTGTGGGTACCAGTCTGTGGTTACCAGTCTGTCTGTGGCTACCAGTCTGTGGTTACCAGTCTGTCTCTGGTTACCAGTATGTCTGTGGTTACCAGTCTGTGGTTACCTGTCTGTCTGTGGTTACCAGTCTGTGGTTACCTGTCTGCACTTACCTATCTGTGGTTACCAGTCTGTGGTTACCAGTCTGTGGTTACCAGTCTGTGGTTACCGGTCTGTCTGTGGCTACCAGTCTGTGGTTACCAGTCTGTTTGTGGGTACCAGTCTGTGGTTACCAGTCTGTCTGTGGTTACCAGTCTGTGGTTACCAGTCTGTCTCTGGTTACCAGTATGTCTGTGGTTACCAGTCTGTGGTTACCTGTCTGTCTGTGGTTACCAGTCTGTGGTTACCAGTCTTTCTGTGGTTACCAGTCTGTGGTTACCAGTCTGTGGTTACCGGTCTGTCTGTGGTTACCAGTCTGTGGTTACCAGTCTGTGGTTACCGGTCTGTCTGTGGCTACCAGTCTGTGGTTACCTGTCTGCACTTACCTATCTGTGGTTACCAGTCTGTGGTTACCAGTCTGTGGTTACCAGTCTGTGGTTACCGGTCTGTCTGTGGCTACCAGTCTGTGGTTACCAGTCTGTCTGTGGGTACCAGTCTGTGGTTACCAGTCTGTCTGTGGCTACCAGTCTGTGGTTACCAGTCTGTGGTTACCAGTCTGTCTCTGGTTACCAGTATGTCTGTGGTTACCAGTCTGTGGTTACCTGTCTGTCTGTGGTTACCAGTCTGTGGTTACCAGTCTTTCTGTGGTTACCAGTCTGTGGTTACCAGTCTGTGGTTACCGGTCTGTCTGTGGTTACCAGTCTGTGGTTACCAGTCTGTCTCTGGTTACCAGTATGTCTGTGGTTACCAGTCTGTGGTTACCTGTCTGTCTGTGGCTACCAGTCTGTCTGTGGCTACCAGTCTGTGGTTACCAGTCTATGGTTACCAGTCTGTCTCTGGTTACCAGTATGTCTGTGGTTACCAGTCTGTGGTTACCTGTCTGTCTGTGGTTACCAGTCTGTGGTTACCAGTCTGTCTGTGGTTACCAGTCTGTGGTTACCTGTCTGTCTGTGGTTACCAGTCTGTGGTTACCAGTCTGTGGTTACCTGTCCGTCTGTGGTTACCGGTCTGTGGTTACCTGTCTGTAGTTCCCTGTCTGTGTTTACCAGTCTGTCTGTGGCTGCCTGTTGGAGTTTGTTTTTTTTTTGTTTGTTTTTTTACTTTTTACAAATAACCATGTAATTGGCACTACAAATAAATTAAAACAATAAGCAGATACTGAAAGTATTTTATGTGTGGATGCACTAAAGAGGCCATATTTGTCTGACTGCTGGTAGAGGGTTTCTGCCTGAAACGTCATTCAAAATCAAAACTATTTACAGATTAAATTTACAGGCTTCTCAAGATGGCCCACCACGGCCCTGTCCTGTCTTTGGTTACCTGTCTGGGGTTACTTGTGTGCACTTACCTATCTGTGGTTACCAGTCTGTGGTTACCGGTCTGTCTGTGGTTACCGGTCTGTGGTTACCAGTCTGTGGTTACCTGTTTGCAGTTACCTGTCTGTGGTTACCAGTCTGTGGTTACCTGTTTGCAGTTACCTGTCTGTGGTTACCAGTCTGTGGTTAACTGTCTGCCTGTGGTTGCCAGTCTGTGGTTACCTGTTTGCAGTTACCTGTCTGTGGTTACCAGTCTGTGGTTACCTGTCTGCAGTTACCAGTCTGTGGTTACCAGTCTGTGGTTAACTGTCTGCCTGTGGTTGCCAGTCTGTGGTTACCTGTTTGCAGTTACCTGTCTGTGGTTACCAGTCTGTGGTTACCTGTTTGCAGTTACCTGTCTGTGGCTACCAGTCTGTGGTTACCTGTCTGCACTTACCTATCTGTGGTTACCAGTCTGTGGTTACCAGTCTGTGGTTACCAGTCTGTGGTTACCGGTCTGTCTGTGGCTACCAGTCTGTGGTTACCAGTCTGTCTGTGGGTACCAGTCTGTGGTTACCAGTCTGTCTGTGGCTACCAGTCTGTGGTTACCAGTCTGTGGTTACCAGTCTGTCTCTGGTTACCAGTATGTCTGTGGTTACCAGTCTGTGGTTACCTGTCTGTCTGTGGTTACCAGTCTGTGGTTACCAGTCTTTCTGTGGTTACCTCTGTGGTTACCAGTCTGTGGTTACCGTCTGTCTGTGGTTACCAGTCTGTGGTTACCAGTCTGTCTGGTTACCAGTATGTCTGTGGTTACCAGTCTGTGGTTACCTGTCTGTCTGTGGCTACCAGTCTGTCTGTGGCTACCAGTCTGTGGTTACCAGTCTATGGTTACCAGTCTGTCTCTGGTTACCAGTGTCTGTGGTTACCAGTCTGTGGTTACCTGTCTGTCTGTGGTTACCAGTCTGTGGTTACCAGTCTGTCTGTGGTTACCAGTCTGTGGTTACCTGTCTGTCTGTGGTTACCAGTCTGTGGTTACCAGTCTGTGGTTACCTGTCCGTCTGTGGTTACCGGTCTGTGGTTACCTGTCTGTAGTTCCCTGTCTGTGTTTACCAGTCTGTCTGTGGCTGCCTGTTGGAGTTTGTTTTTTTTTTGTTTGTTTTTTTACTTTTTACAATAACCATGTAATTGGCACTACAAATAAATTAAAACAATAAGCAGATACTGAAAGTATTTTATGTGTGGATGCACTAAAGAGGCCATATTTGTCTGACTGCTGGTAGAGGGTTTCTGCCTGAAACGTCATTCAAAATCAAAACTATTTACAGATTAAATTTACAGGCTTCTCAAGATGGCCCACCACGGCCCTGTCCTGTCTTTGGTTACCTGTCTGGGGTTACTTGTGTGCACTTACCTATCTGTGGTTACCAGTCTGTGGTTACCGGTCTGTCTGTGGTTACCGGTCTGTGGTTACCAGTCTGTGGTTACCTGTTTGCAGTTACCTGTCTGTGGTTACCAGTCTGTGGTTACCTGTTTGCAGTTACCTGTCTGTGGTTACCAGTCTGTGGTTAACTGTCTGCCTGTGGTTGCCAGTCTGTGGTTACCTGTTTGCAGTTACCTGTCTGTGGTTACCAGTCTGTGGTTACCTGTCTGCAGTTACCAGTCTGTGGTTACCAGTCTGTGGTTAACTGTCTGCCTGTGGTTGCCAGTCTGTGGTTACCTGTTTGCAGTTACCTGTCTGTGGTTACCAGTCTGTGGTTACCTGTTTGCAGTTACCTGTCTGTGGTTACCAGTCTGTGGTTAACTGTCTGCCTGTGGTTGCCAGTCTGTGGTTACCTGTTTGCAGTTACCTGTCTGTGGTTACCAGTCTGTGGTTACCTGTTTGCAGTTACCAGTCTGTGGTTACCAGTCTGTCTGTGGTTACCTGTCTGTGGTTACCAGTCTGTGGTTACCTGTCTGCAGTTACCTGTCTGTGGTTACCAGTCTGTGGTTAACTGTCTGCCTGTGGTTGCCAGTCTGTGGTTACCTGTTTGCAGTTACCTGTCTGTGGTTACCAGTCTGTGGTTACCTGTTTGCAGTTACCTGTCTGTGGTTACCAGTCTGTGGTTAACTGTCTGCCTGTGGTTGCCAGTCTGTGGTTACCTGTTTGCAGTTACCTGTCTGTGGTTACCAGTCTGTGGTTACCTGTCTGCAGTTACCAGTCTGTGGTTACCAGTCTGTCTGTGGTTACCTGTCTGTGGTTACCAGTCTGTGGTTACCTGTCTGCAGTACCTGTCTGTGGTTACCAGTCTGTGGTTAACTGTCTGCCTGTGGTTGCCAGTCTGTGGTTACCTGTTTGCAGTTACCTGTCTGTGGTTACCAGTCTGTGGTTACCTGTCTGCAGTTACCAGTCTGTGGTTACCAGTCTGTCTGTGGTTACCAGTCTGTGGTTACCTGTCTGCAGTTACCTGTCTGTCTTTGGTTACCAGTCTGAGGTTACCAGTCTGTCTGTAGTTCCCTGTCTGTGTTTACCAGTCTATCTGTGGCTGCCTGTGTGAGGGTTTTTTTTTATTTTTTTTTTTTTTTTACAATTAACCATGTAATTGGCACTACAAATAAATTAAAACTATAAGCAGAATACTGAAAATATTTGTGTGGATGCGCTAAAGAGGCCATATTTGTGTGACTGCTGGTAGAGGGTTTCTGCCTGAAACGTCATTCAAAATCAAAACTATTTACAGATTAATATATCATACACATATCATCTTATACAAAGATACAAGGAGAGGAGTAGATTATTTTCTTTATTTAAACAAAAAATATATAAAATATTATATAATATAATAAAAATGTATGCCTTATTTAAACTATATAAATATTGCTTTAAAATTAATCAGGCCATTGGCACTACAATTAAATAAAACAACAAGCAGATACAGAAAGGATTTCAATTCAATGTTAATGTTATAACTAAAGAGGCCATATTTGTCTGACTGCTGAATGTAGAATTTAAAACTTCCTTTATGAACAAATCCATGCCTTCATTGAACTATAAAAAATCAGTCTCCTTCTTCCATGGGCTCATCTTCATCATCTGCAAAGTACTGGAGAAAAAAAAGTAAATAAAAACTGCATATAAGGATGTGAATTTAATTGATTTTTAGTGTAGACTATACATTACGTTGTCATCTTCCTCAGGTAATTCAGGAGGAGGAGGATGAGGAGGAGGCACAGGCAGGTGGTGTTCCTCAACAGAGGTGACCAGAGGTCACTTTCCTGCAAAATGGCACAATACAACAGTTGTTAAACCTGACTGATGCATCACAATTCACAAATATACAATAAACAATACACTGAGATTCCCCCAACTCCAAAATTCCAGCCAGTGATATAGCATTCACTGCCCTGTTTGACGTAATTCCACACTGATATTTCAATGCACACTATTCATTGAAATATCAGTATGGAATTATTCAAACAACAATGCTGAGAGCTATATAATTAGGTTGAATGACAATTTTGTAACATATGAATCCTGGCGTGGTTGCTGTGCTGAAACTGTAAAGGAAAAGTGTAAAAGCTACTTTCATCTCATCCTATTAGGCACAAAGTATTTAAATTAAAATACTCAGAGTGCACTATGGGAAATATCAAAAGACTTATTTGGCAACACAGTTGTCCACATTATTTAGTCACAAGAGAGCCCAATATTTCATGGAAAAATATCCAATGACATGTCAATAATTTATGCATGGTGTAAACATACAGATTTACAAATTTACGGTGCCATCTTCCACTCCACTTTTGTCAGCCATTATCTGAAAAAGATGCTCTGTTAAGTACAACTTGTAGAAAGGAAAGGCAAATACATAGCATGCCAAGCTGCGGTTCAAAGATTCAAATCTTTTTTTACAATAGTACAGTCTAATTTGTGTGATGCCACGCCCGTTTCTTGCATTTGTAGTTTCCCCCTAGATTTGAATGAAAATTTCTGGGAATGTGTCAGGCACACTTACCAAGTGAAGAAGTCAAACGCTGACAGAGAACAGAAGGTCTGCAGGTGATCACAGTGAAGTGTTTCTGCTGGATCGACTGCAGAGATTAGCAGTAATTGTTGCTATCTTCTATGTTTTTTACTATTTACTTTGTAGGGTACCCACCTACTATATCCTTAGTACACATATAGATATACATATGTGTATACAAATATATAGTAGCATAAAAGTAGATTTACATATATATATGTGTGTGTATGTATGTACAGTGGGTACGGAAAGTATTCAGACCCCTTTAAATTTTTCACTCTTTGTTTCATTGCAGCCATTTTCCAAAAATCAAAAAAGTTCATTTTATTTCTCAGTAATGTACACTCAGCACCCATCTTGACAGAAAAAAACAGAAATGTAGAAATTTTTGCAAATTTATTAAAAAAGAAAAACTGAAATATCACATGGTCATAAGTATTCAGACCCTTTGCCGTGACACTCATATTTAACTCAGGTGCTGTCTATTTCTTCTGATCATCCTTGAGATGGTTCTACACCTTCATTTGAGTCCAGCTGTGTTTGATTATACTGATTGGACTTGATTAGGAAAGCCACACACCTGTCTATAAGACCTTACAGCTCAGAGCAAATGAGAATCATGAGGTCAAAGGAACTGCCTGAAGAGCTCAGAGACAGAATTGTGGATAAAATGTCATCTGTTAGGATGCCCCAGCCGTGATTTGAATTGTTTGCGTTCCACACATTTCACGCTTAATTTTGATAACTGATAGATTCTTTTGGAATTATTTTTTTTATAGAAGAAGTTTATCTTTCTTTGTTTTTCACTATATTTTTTGGTACTAATTTGCTTTTGGTTTAGCTTTAAGGTGACAGGTAAGACCTACTCAGGAAAGTGCAGCCTGCCCCAGGATGTGAGGCCAGGGGCAACCATTAAGGGATACCTGGTGGACGTCAGGAGGTTCATGGCTTTCAGATTGACAGCAATGAGCTACGGATCAAGTAAAGATGTACTTGAGAGTGGACTTGATGCCACAATATTGTTCGAGGGTTCACAGGGAATCCAGACAAGACTGCCCCCGCCTGAGTTTAACAACATGTTGTATATTAACGTATCCCAGCCAGAAGCTGGAAGTTACACTGAATCCACTTTATTGTATTGTCTTTAGATGTTTTAACAGTAAACAAAACTAAAAGTTATGTGGGTTGCTACTGTTTGCCTATAACTCTTACCTGACTCCACATTTGTCCTTCATTAATAAAAGTTCTTATCATGCTGTACAGTTTCCCTTCAGTTTAATAATACAAGGAGAAGAAATGAATTTTACATGTTTTATTGCAAATCAAACAAGAATTATGTGAGATATGTTAAATTCAATATTATTTGCCATTTCCAGACAGTTAATAATACAAATGCTATTACCTTGAGAGGGACATTTACAAAGGACTGATATCTTCAAAAAAGAAATATTAAATAATAGTTTTTTTAAACAGTGATTGTGTATACAATATTTAACACATATAAAACAAAACTTTTGGCTTTTATAGCTGACATGCAACCATCAGGTTCAGCTGGAGGTAGGAAGAC